TGTGAAGGAACTCACCTCAGTCCTTTCACCTTACTGTTGTGTGCACAGATCCCAAGTCCTTGTTTGAATCAACTGTCCTTCTTTATTTAAAACATTATTTAGGAAACCTTTTTGACTTTTGGGCATGTCCAGAAACACAATAGGGACACACGTCCAGCTCTGGAGAGATACCTGGCATGTTCTTTCATTATCCCAGAACACTGGCCAGATGCTGATGTGCAGACACTACGGGCCCCGGGAGAGAAAACCGCTCTGGCAGAGGCAGCCTGGGCAGGCGCTCATTTTGCTCAGGTCACCTCCCAAGGGAGAGATGCTTGGAGCTTGGGGAGAGGCAAGAGGCCCGCAGTCCACAAGAATAAACATCTGATAAGCAAGCCTGAGGGGCACGCAGAGGGGACTGGGGCTTCCTGATCTAAGTAATATCCTTTCAGCATTAAAAAGGGCAAGTTCCTGTCACAGGCAGGGCAGATACATGTGTCCCATCACAGAGAGACCATGGGACACGAGATGCCCACTCAGGAGGTGAAGGTGGCTCTGTGTGCAGATTTCTGAAGAGATCCTGGTCTGTCAGACTGAAAATATATGACCCTCCCCACAGTCAAAGGTGACTAGAGATATTCAGAATGAACACCTTAGGAAAAATGTGAGGTTTCCGTTATACACTTGGGCCATTCGTGATGTGTGGGAGTTCCAGAGTGTGTGTGCATGGGTGTGAACTTGTGTAGATACGTGTAGTGGAGGGTGTGGCCCTCATCTCCTTCATTCCCAGGAAAACTGGTCCAAATATTTCTTCAGAACATTTTCTGAGGGAGCTGCATGTCACAGAGGAGATATATTCTAGCTGTTCCTATCTCTCTATCTCTTTATCTTTCTCTCTCTCTCTCTCTCTCTCTCTCTCTCTCTCTCTCTCTCTCTCGATCTATCTATTCATTTACTCATTCATTCATTTTTATTTATTTTTTCAGTATTGAAGATTGAACCCAGGAACTATGCCCTGAGCTCCCTCATCCCTGCTTTTTACATTTTTGAGACAGATTCTCACTAAGTCACTAAGTTGCCCAGGCTGGGCTTAAGTATGAGATCCTCTGCCTCAGTCTCCCAGAGCACTGGCAAGTTAGATGTGAACCACCATGCCTATCAACTCTAGCTTCTCCACTGCTAAAGGAAGCATGGTTTTATTGGGAATGAGTATCAGCTGCTGCTTCCCCTACTTCAATGGCCAGAAGACATTGACACCATCCCCAGTGGGGTCGCTTCTCAGGCAGCACTGCAGGAATCACAGGAATTCCCACAGCTGTCTAAATCTTTCACATCTCTTTCTTCTTAACACATACAAGGCATTCTCCTCTGTTACAGAGGAAGAAATAAAAAGTGGCATGTGCTCTGAGTTCAATAGATGGCTTTTGTACAGCTTTACTTTCATAAGTGAGATAGTAACTTTCTAATGACAGGCATGGAAGTTCAGTTTGATTTCCAAAGTCTTTCTTTATGACACATTTAGACATTGTGATTGTATTGCAAAAAAATTCCATGAAAATGACTCTAACTGTCCAATGTTTAGTCAGTTTACTTAAGAGTAAATTAAGAAAGAATAGAGTAGAATTTTCACTTCAGAGTTTCAGAATAGAAAGTGTGGTGGAACTCATTCTAACTGCAGAAACTCTTATTTCTCTCTTAGCTTTACATTTTGTCTTATGTACCTTCCACTTACAGTCAGTAACATAATTTATTTGTATAGGTCTTATGCTTGTTGATGCCAAAGCAGATTGCAAAGTCAAGCAACAGTAACCTTCCCCTTTTGTTGTTCTAGAGATTCTGAGGATGGTCAGTGGCCACTGGTCTTAGACTCCAGTTCAGTGGTGGTTGGGCGCTTTGGGCCACCTTCTTCCATCTGTGCTGGCAATGTCTAAGCCTTCTTCTCCATTTCCTAGGGCCGTGATCATCGATGGACAAGCACCCCTAGAACTGTTCCAGCCGTTGGAGCTGACTTTTCTTTATTTAAATAGATCACATAGTTTTTCCAATGACTTCCTAGTTAGAAATCTATGCATCTCCTATTAGGAATTGTGAAATAAATCTGCTATATAACATCACATGATTGCTCTTGAACATCACATGATTTCTTTTCTAGGAAAAACCAAAGTATAAATAAATTAAAGTGAAAAATACAACACTGATAATTGCAAGCAGGGAGTCAGATCCTCTGCAAATGGGAAAGAGACCAAGACAAGGAGGAGTGGCGAGGAAAAGGAGGGGAAGGGGATGTGAAAGGAAAGAACATGCGTCGTGCATACGGAGCCGCTCTTCTGATGAATGTGATCGTGGTGCTGTGTACACCTGTACTAATAGAAAATTAAGAATAAAAATAAAGAATTCTGGGCTTTAAGAACTGCTTGAGATAGCTACAACATAAGGGCTCATTTACAGGAAAAATAAAATTAAAAAAAAAAAAAAGAATGGCTTGAGATCCTAATTCTGGAAAAAGGCTTTTATAAGTGACCAGAGTGATTGTCCGGTAACGCTGTGTGGACCATCCTAGAGGACTTTGCACATCCACTCTTGGGTTCAGCAGATCTGTCTTTCATCACTGCCTTCCCTGCCTAGGCACAGGGTGGTGTCATTCCGGCCGTAATTTAGAGACAAATCGGTCACTGCGATGGCTGAGCTCACAGAAATTACATGAGAAGGTTTTCATTAAGCATTTTTTACTTCAACTCGCTACTAAGTCACCTGAATTCACAGAAAGGTTCATCGGGGCCATGCTGACCCGTCTATCTCCAGAAATCACACAAAAAAGTTCACTACAACTTATCAGAAACCACCGAGAAGCCCAGAAGGTAGATTCTCATTCAGAGCCCTGAGAGCCATCAACAATCTGAAGCTGTAGTATGATTTCTATTTCTATTGCTAGGTAAGGAGATTAACAGCACACAAAAGGTGTGAGTGCTTGTCTCACATCACTGTGTTTTGAAGAATCAAAAATATCCCACCAGCTCAGCAAAGAGTTATGTGTGAAGGTAAAAAGAATGTACTTTGCCTCTCTGTTCTGGAAGTTTGCCCCAGAAACCTTCTTTCCTTGAAAGTTGAAGGATTTTAGGTGAAATCATCATTAAAGCTAATTAGCTAAAAGCAAAACACAACACATAAAATCTTTCTGAGACCCTAAGGGCAATGGTGGTGAACCTATGGCATACATGTCATCTGTTTTTCTTGTAACACAGAAGATTTTAATATATGAGTTGTTTTTTCTAAACTAAAACCTCAGCATTCAGACTTAATTTCATTGTTGGCACTTTGTGATAAATAAGTGGGTTTTGGGTTACGGTTTGATCATTCATCTCTAAAATGTTTGCCACCCTGTCCCAGGGTAATGTTATGGCAAGGATCATGTACAGTAATTGGAAAATGGGTTGTGTTAATGCAATCCTCTACCAATTAGCTAAAATTTTCTCCCTTTTGTAGCCAATGCTTTCAAACACTGTTAAATACAATATATTTAGAATGCCTTTAATCAGGTAAGTTTCTCTTAGTGAGATTGTGTTGTTGATTATTTATTCAGTGTCTTTTTGTTTCTACTTCTTTTATACCCAAACGGTGCTTAAGATGGCTACATTTAGCTATAAAGACATTTCAGTGTTCAAATTAAGACACAGAGAATTCTTAATGACAATTGAGTTGTCCTTGAGAGAAGCTATTATGTTTGCAGATATCTCACATATTCATAAATCAAATACTGTGCATACTAAAGCCAGTAAGAAAAAAAAAACTAGTGCACACTGCTTCTCATTATAAAAATGCAATTATTCTGCTTAGTTATGTTTTTAAAATAGCCTGACATTTAAAATAATTGATGAATATGTAATTTGCTAATCAGTAATGGCCAGTTCCTGTAGAGGTACCACCATTAGTTTCATAATTTACTGTTTCAGAAGTTTTATGAATACAAGATTAAAGCTGGGAAGCAGAGAGAAGCCACTTCAAGATGACATTATCCTATTTAACACCCATAATACTTAATAGCAACAACAATTAAGCCTCACAAATTAAGTCAACATATTGAATTCCTATTGGGTGAGTTGCAAATGAGACATTTATGTGTAGTGGATTTCCTCACACTAAATTTCCCACTCACAATCGTGCACCCAAATGAACATCAGAGAAACATACTGTGTTGTGAAGGATTAAATAATGTTTTAGCTTATGCCTTTATTTTTTGTCTCTTGCCTCCAAGTGATAATAGAGATCTCATTTACCATGCATGAACACTTCTATTCCCTTTCTGAGAACATTCTGGTATTGCTGATATAAGAGACGAAAGTCATTTATTTATAGATTGCCTTATTAGTCTACACCTTTTGGTAAATATCTAGATAATCTGGTCAGCTTGTCTCTGTGGCCGAAAAAGAAAGACTAGCTGCCATCTTCCATCCAAATGAGTTGGTATATGAATATTTATAAGGACATCAATATTCACAGTGTCTTACAATCATGCTCCAAGCTAAATAAAAATAAAAGTAAACTGCCATAAATATTACAGTATAATGGGATAAAAGCTGTAAGATATATACAGATTCATTGACAATATCTGTGCAAGTACTGTGGGCAGAACATTTAAAAGAAAGTTACATAAAACAAAGTAGATAAATTTATCAAATATTGATAAATTTTCAGACAGTATAAAAGTACACAAAACATGAAAGAGAGAAAGAAGTTTGAAAAATAATCACTATGCCAGTACATAAGTACATGTTTACTACATTTATATTACAGAACGATGAAAATCAGAGACAAGAATGAATTGGTAACAAACAGCAAAGAAAGTTTCACCAGTCACAAAGAAGGAAGACATTCCTTTAAAACGCATCCCCGCCCATACACACATAGGAAAAGGAAAGCAATGCAAAAAGTCGTCTACAGCAACACAGGACAGACAGAGGTGGGAAGCATTTGGCATGTCGCACCACAGGAAGTCAATCACGACTGGCTAACGATGATGGTACCTGGCTCTGTTGCAGGTCACTGGCTTGCCTGAGAGGAGTGACTGATGGTGGAGGCACACCTGACGTAGATGCAGACCGGCCTAATTTGCAGCTTACTTTAGGTTCTGCGAAGAAGGGGGAAAGACAAAACATTAGCTAAGTGACACCTGCTGTGATAAAATGGCTTTCTCGGTCTCCCTTTTTGTTTTGCTGCATGTTCTGGGAATACTCAAGATGTTTCTGACATTTGTTAATATATGGCAGAAACACTTTCATAACAATTGGCTGTAAAAGGAGTTTTCTTCACAGATCGTCTCCTGGGGAATGAAGGGAAAATATCCAGCAGCAAGAGCATTGCTCCCTTGCATGTTTTACCCCATTCAAGGTTAATTTCTACAAAGTGACTGTTGAAGCAGCAATGCCCTATCAGGGGAAAAGCAAATAATCTCATCAGTTTTGATCTCTCATTTTCAGCTTTGTCCACAGGACTCTTACTTCCTAAAATGTGTTCCCATTCTAAACCCATCCTTCTTTCCTTCCCTCCTTCCTTTATTGTGTCTAGATGTCCCCATAAGCCCTCATGCTGTCACAGAGTTTTTTCGGAGGTGGTTGCATCTAGAGTGTCTGGTGCATTTGTAGTGCGATGCTGGGATTAAAGGTGGGTGATTGCTGGATCAGTCCACTGACTGGCTTGGCATGGTCCTAATTCCAGCAGGCTGGATACAATATGAGGGACAGAAAGAGTCATATCTCACTCTCGCATTGCTTTTGCTGTTTTTTGTTGTCATGAACTGTTGCGTCTGCCATGTGCCATCCTTCCTCGGAGCCAGCCTGTTATGGACAGAAACCTCTACAAACTGTGAGCTAAGTAAACCTTTCCCCCTCTAACTTGGCGTGTTGGGTATTTTGTCTCAGCAAAGAAAAAGTAACTAAGACATCTTTCTTTCTCTCTTCCTTTCTTTCTTCTCCTCCTTCCAGACACTTCTTCCTTCCTTCCTTCCTTCCTTCCTTCCTTCCTTCCTTCCTTCCTTCCTTCCTCCCTCCCTTCCTTCCTTCCTTCCTCCCTTCCTTCTGTCCTTTCCTCCCTCCTTCCTTCCCTCATTCTTTCCTAGATTGCTCTCCATATAACATTTTTCAGTGTTACCATCTATCTCTATCTACTTTAAAATTTATAATTATCTTCTGAGACCTTTAAAATCTTTCAGAGATTTATCTCATACCTGTTACTATATTCCACAAATTTGACACAAAGTTGTGATGTAAATCTCCTGTCATCCTGGGAGAGCCTGTAGTTTATCCAGGAACACAGACATTAAACGAGACATGATGCCCATGATTCTGTAACTGCAGATGTGATGAGCTTTCCTGGAGCGTTTATAGAGTGACACAGCAATGTTTGTTGGAGGAACTGCAACGAATTCAATTCTTGATGGATTCCTTTTTGTTCCTTCAACCAACACTTCCCAAGTGTCTGCTATACGCACCACACCAAAGAAGGTGCAAAGATTATAGGGGTGAAGAAGACACTCATTCCCCACACACTAATAAAGTTTATATTTTCACAAGAAAGACAGACATTAAACCTCAAATCAGAAACCCCCAACACAGGCTCATGAGGGACACTAGAGTGAGCTCCAGGCCTTCAACCCTTGACTGGACCCTTCTGAGCTCTGGCACACAGACAGCCTTTTTTGCACTCTGCCACATGTCATTGCAGTGGCCACTGTAAGTCCACCTTGTGAACCCTCATGTATGTACTTATCTTGCATATCTTCAAAACTGGGAAATCTGTTAGAGCTTGGGGCACTGTGATGTCATTTATCAAGAGTATCTTCTGTGTTCTGCTGCACCAGGAAAGAGGCTTTGGAATGGGTATTAAAATCAGAAGTGGGCAGGATTCTGGATCCACTGATTTAATTTTTAACCTACTTAGAAATCAAAAGTATTTTGAATGTGTTGCTCTCGTTCACTTTATTGCTAGTATACAGCAAGTTCATAGGAAGAAGGAAAACATCCTATTTTTTAGGATAGTTGGGGAGATTTGAGCTAGTCATAAGTAAAAGATAGAATAAACTTACCTATAATGTTCAGAGAAAATGCCTGGCATATAACAATGGTTTTTTGAGTTTTAAAAAATCCTCCCTTAAACAAACACTCTCATGTGCACATACACACCAGCACACATGCATGCACAGTAACACTTACCGCTACACCTTTACACTAATGCAAATAATTATATTTCTCTTCTCTTTCTCTATGACCCTCACAGCTTCCCCTCTCTTCTCCTTCCATCCTGTTCACTTGCTTTTTGTCTCTTGCTTTCTCTTTCCACTCTGCCCTTTCCCCCTGAGAACATCATTCTCACAGTGTGCTGGTGAACTGATGGTGTCAACTTGAATAAGAAACACCCAGTTAAACTGGATCAGCATGGTTCTGGGTGTGGCTGAAGATGGAAGACCCAGCCTGGGTGTGAGTGGCACCAAGCAATAAGCTTGAGCCTGGGTGGACTAGAAGATGAAAGAGGAAGGTTCCCTTCTGTTTCTTTGGAAGAGCTCTTGTCTCCACTCTCAACTTGGATGTCGTCTCCTGGCCTCCAGCACAGACTCTTCAGCCCCTTGATACAGACTGGCACGAGAAACTGCAGCAAGCTCCAGGCCTTCAACCCTTGAATGGATCCTTCAGCTCTCTGGGCACAGACACCCCTTTTGCACTTTTTCATCCTTCTCATTGTGGTGGCCACTGTAGGTCCACCTTATGCATCCTTGTGGATGTGTATATCTTGCACTAAGCCTGTTTCTCTAGTGAACACTGACTGATGCATAAAGCTTCTGATGTGTCTTCTCCCTCTTGAATCACATCAGATTCCTGTAGCTCTGTCCCTGCCCCATTATCTGGTTTGGTCTTGAGCCTCAGTACTTTCTGCACCGGAGGCAATGCAAATAACCTCATGCTGAAAATCAAGGGAGAGTTTCTTCTCTATGTCTTCGGTCTCTCTCTGATTTCACTAAGTATAACGGAAATATTGGCTCCATTTTTCTGGACAAATCTTGTACTTCTTCACTTCATGCTTTTCTTTTCTTCTCCTTATATTCCCACTGGCAATTGACTTTTCCCCTTTGTGATGATTTCTGTATTTGTCCCAAATCATGTCTCAGAAGTCTATTTGTCCTCCATAATCTTTCTGCTACAAAGTAACTTGGGCACAGCACCAGAATGAATTTCTTGAGTTATTCAGCCACCTGCCTTGTTAAAGTTTTTCCCAATGTTCCATATTTAATTCCATATTCAAAATCTAGACTTAATAGCTTAGAAATTTAAGATAATTTTCAGAAGTCCCCTGTGACCTGATGCATTTAGTGAAGTCTGCACTGCCTTTCATGGCTCCCTGGTCCCCAGAATATAAATAATCCCCTCCCTTCTTGGGATTCACATTTATCTGCTTCCCTTTTTAACCCTGAGCTGTTCTCATGCATGAACTTTCATTACATGAAATCTTACCTATCCTAAGATGTAACTCAGTGTACACTTCTATAAAATATCCTGTGATCTTTTTATCCTCTTTCTTGCAAATTGCCTTAGTGCATGCACAGCAGCTATACTACTTGCTCTGGTTGGGAGCATTTTTCTGGTAGGGACCAGTTAGCAAGTACTCAATTATTATATATTTTTATTTCAAGGAGGACACTCAGATTAGGTCCTCATAACCTAGCAAGCCTAGAAAAAGTCAACATAACTCTTTTTAAAAGGTAAAAGTAATCAGGTAACACAGAATATAAGGCTGGATTCAAGGCCTTGCTCCTCCACTTACTGAGGCAGTGACCCCCATCCAAGGCACATGATTCTCTAAGATGCATTTCAACAAGTCTGCCCTTGTTTTTCTGCAGGTGATTCAAATGTCTGTCCATCTATTCCTAAAACTACCTTTGAACTGTCACTGGGACTATGTGAATGAGTCTCTCATTTAGTGACATAGATACAAAATTACTGTAAGTGAAACTTCACTTACCAGGAAAGTACATCTTTGCATACCTTACAAAATCTTGTTATATAAACTAATAGGTGAAGCTTTCACCAAAATTCCCGATAATGCATCTTCATAATGAGTCAGTGTTTCTGTGTATTCCATTATTGGTTTAATACTTTTAGTCACAAGGGGTGAGAAATGAAAGGAAAGCAAATGATACTTATTGACTGTGAAGCTCTTTTCAAATTTCTGTTGAACGCATTGTCTGATAAAAATAAATTATGTGACAAAGTCAAGAGCCTCCTATATCATGATGTTCTTAAGGATCAATTCCTCTTGTTGAGTTTTCCAATCAGACTTTGACTGAATCAGGCTCCTTCTAGTCACTGCAGACAGTGATATCTTTAATGTACACTCTGAACCTCACCAAAATCCATACAAACTCCAAATTGTCATCATGACCTGGGAAAGCTTTGCTCCCTTGAGTGACAGTCAGAGTCATGTCTTGGGTTAATAAATCTCCTTAGGCTCTATAATATAAGCAACTGACCACCCATTGCACGTCTCAACTTAAATTGCTACCCACCCACCCTGTGGGTTAGCTCTGCAGTCATTCTTACTGTGCCTCACATAGTGCTGACTCTACCTGCAGACATAAATTGAGATCATTCCCATAAATCCTCGATGCATACACGCATGCGTACAACAGCATTGGTGCTTATGTTATCTCATGTGGTAGGGACATTTTTTAAGCCATAAGAATTCTCTCTTTCACTTTGCTTCTTATTTCATTTTCTTATAACCTGTCACTTCAACGCATTTGAAATTTATGGTATCTGTGAGACCAAACTGATGGTACAAATCCTTATAAGACTGTGTCCACTGATGAGAATTTGACTAAAGGATTGCCGAAAGTGGTCCCCAAAATCCTAGAAAAGATTTAATTATAATCAAGCCTCTCAGCAATCCTCGAGGCCTGTAACATCAAAGTGAAATTGTCCAGCTCACTTACCTTTGGAAATGCAGTCTCTCTCACACTTCAGCAGTGAGGCTTACGAGCCAGGACACTACAATTCATCCTGAATTTGAAAATGAATTTTGACAAGACTTTTGGAGATCTAAAAAAAATAGACTTAGCTCTGGAAAGAAATATAATATAGA